CTTCTCCCCCCCAGATTTTCCTCCAGATTCCTCTCCCCTTCTCCCCCCTTCTCTCCAATCCTTCCCCAGAATCTCCTCCTCTTCTCCATCAGATTCTCCTTTTCCTCTCCCTTTCTCCCAGATTCTCCTCCTCCTCTCCCCCCAGCATCTCCTCCTTTTTCCCCCCAGCATCTCCTCTTTTCTCTCCCAGCACCATCACCTCTTCTCTCCCCGCAGCATCTTCCCCTCACTACCCCAGCATATCCCCCTTCCCCCAGTATATCCCCCATCTTTCCCCACAGCATCTTCCCCTCACTACCCCAGCATATCCCCCTCTCCCTACATGCACATAAATAATGTGTTATTTTTGGTGCCGGTGGGGGTTTGAAGTAAACCCAGGCTCCCTACCTGGTGGATCCGATTCCTTTCCGCTGCTGTGAGGGGGTGTGGGCACGAGGGAACACTGACTTAAGTGCTGTTCTAGCACTGCTCCCTCCGCTGATGCCTCCGGGAAACAGGAAATTACGTCAATCAGGCGGCGGTGCCTGTTTGACGTAATTTCCGGTCTCCCGGCAGCATCAGTGGAGGGAGCAGTGCTGGAACAGCACATAAGTCAGTGCTCCCTTGCAGCCCTCCATCCCTTCCACCCACCAGTGCCACCTTAACAACATTATGGGCCCCCGGGCAAAGGGTTGCACTGGGGCCATGCCTACACACAACTCACAGGAATAAAAATGTAAATTATAGATAAAATTAGGCTTATATTTATTAGTATCTCCAACAAGAGAGTATATGTATAGTCAGGTAAAAAAAGAAGAAAAAAATGGCTATAGAACACTTTTCAAAGTAGCCTCACTCCCTGAATTAATTAGTGCTTGTGCACTCTTCCCTACCACCATCACCGCTTTTAGCTGTGCTGTAACACCACCACCAGTCACCATACACATCTTTAAGCAAGTCAATACAATCCTATACAGAGCCCTTATTACTATGTCACATTGTATTGTCTCTTCACTCTCAGGACAGCTATATGTAATATGTCCTTGCATGTGGCAGTTGAAGCAGTTTTTCTCAGTCTGGTCTCGTAGCCAAAATGGGACTTTTAGGTACGTTCTACCATCATAGGTATATTGTCCCAGACTTTGTCCTTGCTTTCCAGTTTCCCCGCTTATCTGGTTGCTAGCGGATCTAGGCTGAGGATCAGTACTGTGTGGCTCCTTTGTAGCAAAGTTCCTCTGAATCATCACCTGCTTCCACATCCACAGCAGCTTCTCTCTGCCAAACTGTCCAACAGCTGGTTGCCATTTTTGGGTAGCCTCTGCTACTAAACAGTGCACAGTATTTTTTAGTTCAACTGGGGTGCTTTGCTTCTCTCTATTGAGCTCAGCTCCTTCACTGTGGTCTTCTCTGACTCCCCAAGTCAGTCTGCTTTTCATGCCTTTAACTTGTTCACTTGGGTGAACATAAGTGGCTTCTGCTTCACTTTTTATTACACAAACCGGCTTGACACTGCTGGCCTCAGCCACAGTCCTTTTTTCTCCTTTTGTTGCCTCGGGAAGATTTATCAGCACCTTTCTGTTTTCTAATGTCTTTCCAGCATTCTCTTGAAACATGTAAGATTCAGCTTCTGAGCGTGAAAATATTTTTGTTTCTGACTCTTTTTCCAAGACCTCTTCATCTGTGGTGATGCCACTCCGAGCAAGTTTGAGGCTTTCATGGGAAGCTGCAATGTTTTGATTTTCAATAAAACACTTGTCAACTTCAGTAATCAGTTTGTCTCGATCTCCCTTCTGACTCTTCTGCTCTTTCTTACTCTGGCACATGTCATCAGTGTCACCGTCACTGCCTCTTGGCAATTCCGCTTTTTCCTTTAGCTTTGCTAGACTCTTTACTAACTTTTCTTCTTTTGCTTTTTGGTCCTTGGATGATCCAACGGCCATTTCACCATCTTCCATTTTATCACTTCTTTCAGACTCAATTTCATCCTTCTTGCCTTTTAATTCCTGTTCTTTCTCTCCTGCGTGTTTCTCAACAGCACGCTTTGCTGCCTCCATGCTTTTCAGCTTGCTGAAGACTTCTTCTACTGCCTCTGTCATCCCATGCAGGATGTCAGTAGCTTGGTTACAGGGTCCCTTGTCCCACGCTCCCTGCAGGGGGCAATCTGCAAAACCTCAGTAAGGGCAGCTCTATGCTCCTGCTGAGCGTCCCTCAGGTTCTTAACCTGTGCAGCCAGGAAACTGTTTGTGCCTTGTTGTTTAGCGGTTGCCTGTACCACAGCTCTCAGCAGGTCCTCCATTATAGCACCAAGCGGGTAACAGTCTTAAAGGTGCAGTGCTACTTATTTGATTAGCAGGTCTGCCAAAATAAAAGTCCTCAAGCAGACTACCAGATGACTGGCACACCCACAGACCCTCACTGTGCTACTTTGTCTGCATTCTCCACCATATTGTGATCCTTGTCAGCAGGTAGCACAGTCCTCTAGGGCAAAAACATGCACAGTCTTTTAATGCAACTTCATTCCAGGCACTTTATTTGTAAGTTTACATATGAGGCAGCAGCAAATGAAAACATAAATATAACAGGTTTCCCTTTAAACAAAAACCTAGCTCGTCTGAGCACTGAATCACTTTGAATATCCCTCTCTATCAGGGTTAAACTAACAAAAACATATTGCACCAACCTTATTAGATAGCAACACTCTGCTAGATAGCCTATTGCTTTTCTTTCTCCACTCTCAGTGCTCCAAGCCAGCCTTGCCCTGACTGCTTTCCTTTCTGCACTCCCAGTGCTCCAAGCCAGCCTTGCCCTGACTGCTTTCCTTTCTGCACTCCCGGTGCTCCAAGCCAGCCTTGACTTCTTCCTCCTGCACTCCCAGTGCTCCAAGCCAGCCTTGACGGCTTCCTTTCTGCACTCCTTGACTCTCTATCTGGAGAGAACAGACTCTCTCCTACCTGCTTCCTGGGAGGAAGCCAGCAATTCCCCCCCCTTTACCTCCCTAGCAGGGAGGGGTTTATTCCCACTGCAACAGCTGATTAACTGCAGCTGAGCAGTGGGTTGGAGACGGTCCAAAAAACCCTGGCCTGGATCTATGTCTCCCCAGAAAACCACTAAACTGTGGAGTGGAGCATTGGCCCACCCTTCTCTCCAAATGCTCCACCCCAGGGGCCCATAACTAAACAAAGCTTTGTGTTGTGCAACACACAAACTACACGTACTTCCCCTGGGGTTAAAAGACCTATCTGCCTTCACTTTATCACAATACATAAACAATAAAATTATAAAATCATTCAAAGTCCTGTCCTTTAAGAAAGTCCTCGAGATGCATTTTGCCGCACAAATGGGCTTTTTCAAACGAAGTGATCCTCTCTCTACCACCATTCTTCTTTTAAATCCTGGTTGTCTTCCTGATTCGCCTCCTCGATGTTGTAAACCAATCCGGTATCAGTGAGTCGTGGGTGTTTTCTTTCCCAGCTGTTCATATTCTTCTTATTGGTTTACCCGGAAATGACGTTGCATCCGTCGTCACTTCCGGTTCAAATTCCGCCATCTTTATGACTGGCACACAATGTGTTATTGCCAGTAACCTTGTCCATATAGAGAAGCTCTCATAAATAGAGAGCCATACACACGTAATATACATGGAAAAGAATGAAAAAGTGTATATCAGGATACATCTCAAATTCGAATAAATTATTTTATCAACCATGTCAGTCTATTTATTCCATTATGTTTCAAGTCAATATCGTTCAAAAGTGACACAATATCAGAATAACACACATTGAAATACATGTCTTCCCATATAGGCTACAATATAGTGAAAAATATATATATTGAAAAGCTTCTAAACGTCATACAGCACAATCATATAAAAGGGGAAATTCATACTTGGAACATCAAAAAAAAAAAGGGGGGGGGACTAAATAATTGAAAAATATATAAAAAATAAAATATATATTATTATATATTTATAAAACTAATGATCAAGGACTAATTGATGATAGTGAAAATATGCATTATAAAAAATGGCACAATTCAAAATCAGCATTGAGTCCAAAGGGAATAAGGGAATTGAGGTTAAAAACCGACCTCATTTCAGCCTTCCCCATTAGCCAGGAGCGCTGTCCGGACAGAGCGGGCAGAAATTGGCTGCGTGAGCGGGTGATGTACATATGGCACAAGCTGGTGTCCTAAGCCCTGCGAAATGTCTGAGGAACAGTTCATTGTCCAGTTGGCTCCAATCCATCTGGATGCCGTACTGAGACAACGTGGCAGACACTTTTGATGAAAAAGACTTGTGGTAGTCGTAAAAAGTATAACCACCATACTTATTACCAAGGTCCACCAGCTTATGCATATATAGATCGAGTTCCTCCCTCCTATGGGGATGAGCCGTGCATAGAATATCTCTAAAGATACCGAAGGCCAGAACAAAATCAGGAATGGCGAGTTTCTTACTGAGTCTGGGGTCTCTGGCTTTTAAAACCACCGAGATGTCCACGTAGTCGTAAGACCGGTTTTCCACGATATCCTGGGAGGCAATGAGCAGTGAGACTAAGTTAACGTCCTTGCCTTCCAGGATGTCCTTTTTAAGATTGGCCGGAACCATGTGGGCAGGATTAATAACGTGTGCGGCTGCCTTGGTGGATATGGAATTACCTGTTATTGCTGTGGGTATGGCCGGGATTATTTCTGAGAGAGAGCAAGGAGGCTGTGCTGGGAAGCTACGGGCTTCCAGTCTCTCCAGCCTGTCGTTTACCTTCCCCATAGAAGAGATTAGGGAGGCAACCATAGCATGGAGAGTAGGATCTTGAGAGCTGCTTGTACCTTCTCCTGCATCTGTATTAACGGTATTGGTTCTTAGCAATTTGAACAGTTCTGCTTTCCTGGCAGTAGCGTAATTCTACAGTGATGCGGGGGATAGTCCATGATCTGATGGACGAGGGACTTCCCGTGTCGCCCTTGCGGGTCGGAGTAAGTGACCTAGCAGGGGTGCTAGGGATTGACATATCCTCACCATCGTCAGGGAGTAGGGACATACTGAAAATATATAATAGACATGTTTGTAACCAGGGTTGGGAATTAACAGGTGGCTAGCTAGTGCCAGATGGCGAAAGATTATTCTAGGTTTGTGGCAGGTGAGGCCCTACTAGGGCCAAGTGGCTAGAGAGGCTCTATCTATGAGTTGGCGCGAGGGGCGTGGTAACCTATACTGGTGATGGGACGTTGGCCTCTCCATGCGTAGGAGGGGAGGGGTATTTGGCGGTGACTGGTGTCGCCCTCTCTATATAATTTGCTAACTATGATTTGGCCCGAGGGGCGTATCGTACCTCGAAGTGGAGGATGTGAGTTGGCCTCGCAGACTGCTAGGACTAAGGGGCAGGGAAAATAACTAATCGACCGTGTTGAAAATAATGTGAAACTAACATACCTGCAGAAAAAGTGAGCCCTGGCTTCTGTATAAAAGATATCAGCGCTCTCTTGAGTAGCAGGGTGGGGGGGGGGTTAGCTCAGATGACTCGTCCGGGGGTAATCGGGGTTCCTGGGGGTATGAGAATTCAGATAATGTACTCTTGTAGGACATATAAGATTGTATAACTGAAAGTAGTAAGTGCTTTCGGGGATGACTCCAGGGAGTACTGTCCCCACAACCGACAAAATGCCCCCAGTAGCCAATGTACTTTAACATTTAACCAGGGTTATTATATCTTAAGACTCTAATGTTTACTAATATTAATGCAGATATCACATAACATATCTAATCAGCCGTAAGTAAAACATATACTATATAACTACCATGTTTGTCAAGCATATCATACAATATATATATATATATATATATATATATATATATATATATATATATATATATATATATATATATATATATATATATATATATATATATATATGTTTAACCAGAGTTCTACTAGCAGTAATTGTATACATAACAACACAGTATTGAAAATAAAAGCATTTGAATTGAGATGTGTATATATTGTATTCTTAAGGCTGAAAATGGCTGAACTAGGGGTCAGCCAGCCACAGAATCTTACCATGCCCCCCTTAAGTTATGCCAGCCAGGTAGACTGGGTTTTACACAGATGAGCCAGCTACTTCCCCCTTTCCCTTTGTGTTGCAGGCGGGAACAGGGACCCCTTACCATATAAGGGTCTGTGAGGCCTGTTCCCGCCCGTGCAGTATATTTTGACCCCCCCACACCCCAATTAACCTACCCACTTATGCCTGTGCATAGCTGGCGGCCGGGAACAGGGACTCCTAATGGTAATGGAGTCTCTGTACCTGTACCCGGGCCAGCCGTGCTATTTACCCAGTAGGAAATGCCATTGCTTACCGCCCCAATGAGCTGGTGGGGAGAGAGGCCGGTCAGATTGGTTGCCAGTGATGCCGGGTTGCCAGAGCAGGTCAGGCCGGGCTGGAGAGCCGGTCCGGTACTGGGGCCGGTAGTGCCGGGCTGAAGTGCCGGTCGGGCCGGGCTGGAGAGCTGGTCGGGCTGGAGAGCCATTCAGTTTATTACAAGGAGGGAGCTACCGGTGCGCAGCTCACTCCTTGTAATATGTAAAGATAGAAGCGGCAGGGACCAGTGCCCCCCCGCCACTTCCTAAGCCCCCATGTTCTCCCGCACTCTATGGTGGTCAATATGACCCCCATAATAGCATAAGGGACATTAAAATCTCCCAAATGCCCTACTCGCTAAACCGCGAGTAGGGGCATGTCTATTAAACAGTGAGCAGCCTATGGCTTCTCACTGTTAAAAAACCCCAAAAAAACTACTATCCACCCCCCTTGGCTTGAAATCTAACCAATCAGAGTGGTCTGTGTCATTTTACACAGCATGGGAAAGTTCTTTGGAATTTTCCCACACTGTGTAAAATGACAAAGAGCACTCTGATTGGCTTAAACCAACCAATTAGAGTGTTCTTAGCGTAATTGCAGGGCGGGGCAAGGCTTTATAAGTTATTTTTTGCGCTCCGGTTTTTTATTTTATTTTAAGTTCGACGGGTATGATGGTTTTTTATTTGGCCTTTTTTGGGATTGAAAAATGAAGATTTTAGAAAAAAGACGTCAAATGGTAAGTTTAATTTTTCTTTACAGGTTAGTTATTTTATGCCTTCCTTACTATTTTTAGGGTGAGAGGGGTAGGTAGGGGATAACTTTATTTGGGTGTGGGGGGGTGACTAGGGGCTTGGGGACCCCTAGTCACCTTGATTGGGGGGAATTTTCATTTAGGGCCCCCACCTGCCGCTTAGAGATGCAATATCGGGGGCCGGGGGGGAGGACAGTAGGTCCCCCCCTTATTGTTATTTAAGGCGGTCAGTAGGTTCCCCCCTTATTCTTATTTAGGGCCCCCACCCATCGCTCAGGGGTTGGGGGGAGGACAGTAGGTCCCCCCTACATTCTTATTTAGGGCCCCCACCCACCGCTCAGTAGGGCCCCTACCTGCCGCGCAGGGTTGGGGGCCAGGGGGGAGGACAGAAGGTTCCCCCATTATTGTTAATTAGGGCCCCCACCCGCCCGTGCAGGTGTGGGCGCCAGGGGGAGGACAACAGGCTCCCCCCCACATTCTCATTTAGGGCCCCCACACACAGCTCAGGGGTGGGAGTCTGGGACTCTAGGTCTCCCCTTTAGTTTAATGTTTTTTTTTTTTTATTTGAACAGTGAGCAGCCACTGGTTGCTCACTGTTTACTAGACATGCCCCTACTCGTGGTATTGCGAGTAGGGGCATGATTTACTAATACTAATCTTTACTTAGTATTAGTAAATGTGGCTGAAAGACCAATTTAGGTCTTTAAGCCTTTTGGTAGATAGCTCCCTAATACAGTGGGAATTAGTGAGTTATCTACTAAGCGGCTGCAAGATGCAGCCGCCGCAATGAATAGGATCAGAGTTTCATTCATTCTAATGAAATTCCGATCCGAACAAAGTCCCGAATTGCGTCCTGACACGAATGGAGAAACTGTTCTCATTCTGTTAGGACGCAATTTGGCAGTTTTGCCGGCGTTCTGTCTAAGTGACAGGATTGTCTTATGATTTTGTAACGGAACTCCACGTACGCCGACCGAGTACCTTCCATTGATGGACGCTTCCTAGCCTGCGCCGAGGACCAATAGCATCGGACTGGACACCACAACCACTGCAGACTCCACAACCGCCGCAGCTTAACTGGAGTCTCGCCGTCTTCTGTCCACCCTGGATCGGCTTCTGTCCTCCAGGACCATGTGGGGAAGACCTCTCCTCCAGGAAAACGTATCAGGAACAAGCTCTTAAAAGAGCTAAGTGATTAAAGCTCAAGGGAGTATGCAGAGCATATCAATCCCCTGTGTGATTATAGCAGTTCCCTCCAATAACGAGACAAGGCTATGTTTTGAAGGGTAAAGAACAACGGACTAAAACTTTATTTTACTTGGGACTAGCCCATATGGTCATTACTTTAATATTGCTGTGAAAACTCAATAAAATTACACACAGTCAATTCATAGCAGGCAACATACAGGGACTTATTATAACACAATGGCATATTTTAAAGGGGTGGGGGAGACAATAATTAACAGAAAATATCTCACGTGCCTGCAGAAATAGCAATATGCAAATCTACCCTAATATGTCTTGCTATTCAGGTAGTGCATAGTGTCCCTTATGCTATTATGGGGGTAATATTGCTACCAACAGAGGGCACTAGACAAGCTCCATAGCCAAATCCACCTAGTTGGTAGCAAACCTCAGCAGTACAGGAGAGCAGGCAATACATTTCCCAGTACACAAACACACTATAAACAATTGCATTACACACACCCTGCACCTATAATGGGTACAGG